TCCTATTCACAGCTGCCCAGAGCCCTGGGGACTCAGGAAGAAGAAGGGAGCCTGCAAGAGTCAGTCAAGGTGCCCCTCCCCACCAGTCATTCATGAGTCCCCTCAGAACAGACAAGTTTTCAGTCAATACGTGTGGAATGACCATGAACTGCATCTGAAAGAAGAGCTTTCCCGGTGACTAAATGGGCGAAGGAATTCTACGCATAAGAAGCCCTACGTTTCTGAAACGTTTATTGATGATGTCCATCCACTCGTTTGTAGCCCCTTCACAGTCCAGCTAGCTGTCGTCAAGAGGCATTTTGTTGGCTAATCTTGTGAGCACTTTAAGGAGAAAGGAAAGAAATACCAGAGGAAAGATGGTGCAGGACCAATCTAGACTCCTCCAAGAACACATATGCTCACGCATGCATACACACACACATGCTCACAGACATACACACAGGTACACACTCACACACATATGTTTACACTCACATACACTCACAAAACACACACACATATATGCTCACAAACACACACAGACAGAAACAAACACACATATACTTAAGCACAAACACACCCTCACACACACATGCTCACAGACACACATATGTTGTTAGGCACACACTCACAGGCACACATGCAAACACTCACAGACCCCATTCATATACACAAATAGAGACACACACATACACTCAGACACACACTCACACATTCATGCACTCTGACACACACATGCTCACACATGCACAAGCTCTCACAAACATGCACACTCACACACTGACATGCATATATGGTCACACATGAACAAAGTCACACACATTCTATCACACACACTCGCACTTTAATGTATACTCTACTCACTTATATAAACATGCGTACGCACGTGAATATACACACATGCTCCCATACTCACGGACTTGTTCACACTCACATACTCATATGTACACTTGCTCATGCTCACACAATATACACACACTCATATATGCTCACACATGCTCACACTCACATAGATGCGTACACTAATACTCACACACACTTGAGGCACATACTTCATGTCCTGAGACCATCAATCATCCTACAAGAACCAGAGAAGCCTCAGTCCACGCCCACCCTTGTCCAGTCCAATCAGGGCTGGAAGCCACGCTGTTGAACACACCCCACGTGCTTCCCCTAGAGGCTCCAATGTCCCCATTATATTCTTAGTTCTACTCTTGGAATCCAAATAAGCCTCGCAAAAGTGCAGGAGAGAATCCCTCCTCCCATCCTGCAGACTCCAGTCTCCAAGGGGCTGTCCCCAGAGACAGGAAGAGGTGGCCACTGCAGAGCTGTCCTCTGGCTGCCGGGAAGAGACCAACCCCTCAGCCCCACCCTACCCACACCCACCTAATGGTCGAGGTCACCCTGCACGCGAGCTACCAGCACTGTGTGGAGCTCCGTGCAAGCTGACGCCAATGGGAGCAGGCAGGCATGGGGAAGGGCCCAAGTAAGGCGAGATGGCATAGACCACCCCAAATGTCAGGCAAGGCAAAAATGCCATTCTTCATTCCCAGAAAGGGACAAGAGGATTGCAACATGTGACCTTCCAAGTTCCGGTCAGATTGGGCTCCGTGGGGACATGTCAATTGAAGTGTCCATGTGGCAGCGTTCCAGAGAAAGTTCACGTTCCTATGGCTAAGTCACAAAATAGTGAGAGCCCTGCGCTGAGCCCAGCTTCTCTCCTCAACCTTGTGTGTCTGCAAGATCCTCTTAAAGCATTTTGAAATGTAAGGCAAGCCCCCACCACTGGGATAGGGTGGAGCGTCCCAGGAGGGGGTCTCTACCTGAGAGATCACGGATGGCAGAGGTCCCTCAATGGCCACTCCCAGTCCCACTTCTTTTGCTGAGCAGACCTTGCCTTCTTGTTGGCGGCTGTCATGGAGTTGGCTCCCGCTCTGGACTGCCTACAATAGAAGGGCAGTTGTGACCATTGGCCAGTCCACCTCATGGAGGCTCTCCTCCACTTTGCTGACCCTCTGATTTACCAACTGTGATGTCCTTGTTTAGCCTCCCCATCCTGGTTTCTAAGGAGCATTCTGTTGGTACTTCTTCCAAAATAGATTTGTTCATTCTCCTGGTGGTCCACAGTATAGTCTATAGTCTTTGCCAACACCATATTTCAAATGCCCCAGTTCTTCTTCTATATGAGGCGATAGAAAAGACCAAGGTTTAGGTTGGGAACACCTTAGTCATGAACCTTTCAGGTTTCTCTAAAGTGGAAAAGTCACAGATTTGAGTAAATACATATAAATCAAGGTTGCTCTGAGAAAAAAAGGTGGGTACATGTCACCACTAAACAGATTACCTGTGAATCACTTCCAGATGGTAAGTATCTGAGGTTCTGAAAGGCATCTCAGATTTCTCATGCTGACAGTATGACACACAGCTTCAACAGTAGACAGAACAGCCTCAAAATTCATGGAAAAATTCCATTATCTTTTCATTTCTGGATGCTGGCGTTCAAACTGTGACTTTTCATCTCGACATTTCTAAAGACTCTTTAGAAAGCATCTAAACTCCCACATCTTTCCTATGAAATTCATGGACTGAGAAATTCCTTACTTTGCTGGACCCAAAGGCATCTCTGGCTATGTCTAATTCGTTGCTGACTTCTGGGAACTCCATGTGTGCAGAGTACAACCGCTCTACAGGGCCTCCGTGGCTGAGGCCTTTCAAAAGCAGATCAGCAGGCTTGGCTTCCCTGACACCTCAGGGTGGGTTCAACCCACCAACCTTGCTGTTTGTAGCCGAGTGCCTAATGATGTACGATACCCAGGCATGGCTATATCTAGAAACCAGTTATTAGAATAAGAACAAGAGAACGAGGTCGTCCAGCCAGCTCATCATTATTTCGGCTTTACGATATGGTTGAAAACCACTAGTGGCATTGGTTAGAGAGTGAACCAAAATCAGACTTCTTTCCTGGCCAAATGTCCTTGCATACTTTGAAAAGGCATTTCTCCTGCCCCATGTGCATACAAACTAGAACTCATGTTCTTGAGAAGCATCTTGGGAGATACTGAAGCATGAAGCTGGGATTCACAGACACAAAGGAAATGAGCGCACAAACTCATAGTGCCACAAGGTAAGTTGCTGAGAGTATTTGACCATATGCTTGGACACCTAGTCTGGGAGGTCCAAAGAGACTTCTCAGAAGGATGGTAGGTTAGAATGAACTCAGGCAGAGGAGACTCAGCTAGAAAGAAAGATTCCAGGTGGGTAGAAGAGGAAATCACAGAAATGGGAGGAGCAGAGAAGCCCGTGCACCTGAAAAACACCTATGCATAGCTGGAGCTCCGAGCGTAAGGAGAAGTGGCCGACAGAGCCAAAAGCAGGTGCGGTGCGAGGCTGGGAGGCCCAGCTGTGGAGGTGGAGCTGAATGCTCAGAGCACAAGGTCAGTGGTTCAAACTCACCAGCCACTCCTCAGAAACCCTATACAGAGGCGCTATTAGTGGGAACCTACTCCATGGTGCTAAACAATAACAACAACATAAGGAGAATAATAATACATCAACCATTTGAGATCCAAAGGGTAGCATTGACTCAAGAACAAAGTTCAAAGGCTAGAGGGGTTAGGAAAGGAGGAGGAATGGAACCAGGAAGCAATCACAGGGAGGAAGTGGGATAAGTGATGTTAGATCGTGGGGACCACAGTCAATGACATGAAACAGAATGTGTGTGGATTGTTGAATGAAAAACTCACCTGTTCTGTCCACCTTCACCCAATTCACAATAAAAAGCTAAAATATAAATACACAAGGTTCAAAAGGCAAATCACTGTCTCCCTGGTCCCTTTCTTCAGCACCAACAAAGCTTGGTAGTGAGAAAGTCAAACTTGCTGCCCACAGGGCTGCTCACAGGTCAGCTGCTGGCGGTAAGGGAGCTGGTCTCCTTAAACCACCTCCACAGGAACTCTCAGAGAGTCTACAGGAGTGAGGAAGCTCCCTTAGTCAATGCAGGGAAGGCCAATGGACACTTGAAAAAAGAAAAGTCCAGGTCCTTCTGTTTCCAGAGCCTCAAAGAAAGAGTGGACCATAGAAAGGGAAGACCCACTCAGGAGAACCAAACCAGACTTGGAGTCCTGATAATCCAGCAGGTGTCAGAGAAGAACTGTGCTCCACAGGATTCTCAGTGGATGGTTTTTCTTAAGTAAATCCCACTCATGGTGCCCTGTGTGTGTCAGAGTAGAACTGTCTCCACAGGGTTCTCAGTGGACCCTAAAACCTGGCCAGCACCCTAACCACCACAAGCTTCCACTGACAGACCATGGTGGCTGCACTGAGGTGTACTCACTAGGTATCGAACCTAGGTCTCTTCGTGGAAGGCAACAGTTCCAGCACAGGTCCCCAGAGCCTCAAATCAGGTAAATAGAAGAAAACAGTAACCATTGAGTTGACCCTGTCAGAGTAAAGGTTTTCCATAAAGTTTTCAATGCCTCATTTTTTGGAATTAGACTACCAGAACTTTCTTCCAAGGCTCCTCTGGGTGGACCTGAAACCCCGATCTTTTTGTTAACAGCTGAGTAAGCTCAGCACTTACACAACCAAAGACACCTCCGCATGGGAGAAGCAGTGAGTGAAGAAAGACACCTCTGCTTGTCATTCATAATATTTATTTTGGAAAAATACTTTAAAAAGGAATTTCTTCATTAACAAAACAGTAAAAAACTCAAATAACATTTGCACAATATTCCATAAATACATTTATATACAAAAAATATAGTCACATAGACCCGAAGTGCCTTTGTACATATTTACCAAAAAATTTAAATTATAAAAAATGAACATCACAAAATACTCAAGCTTTACAGATATCATGAAAATATTTTTACAAATCCAAAAAATAACACACATTTTTCCCACCTAGAAAAAACACATCTCAGTATCAAAAAAGGGCAATAAAGGCAGTGTTTGTGTTTCTAATCCCAGAAAAGACTGGCTCATAAGAATCCGAACTATACACTTCAGGCAGTGCGTGTTTCTCAGTCGTAAGTCAGTCCGTCCATTAAATATAAATCTTTTAAAAGCAACTGTCCATAGTGCAACAGGGAGTTCGAGGCAGTGCAACACGTGTCCGCGAGCGCTTGCCTGGGGTGGGCTGCCTGCAGGTGCTCGCTAACTTCAGGAAGAGAACCAGCTCAGTCTGAATGGAGTTTCTCAGCAGCGTCCGGGGCCTCGCTCCCCTCTTACAGCAGCATCTGTGGGGCATATATCCTTGGAATTCTATGTATTTTAGGAGAGACGGGGGGTTGCCATATCGCTTCCATGTTACACCTGGAGAGACCACAAGGAAGATGGATTAAAGATGGAAACAGATGGTTCTCTGCCTCTGAGTGTTCAGGGGAGCAGCCCAACTCAGACACTGTTCCCTGATAACCCTGCACCAAGCTTTGTGCAGAGACACGTGTCAAGCCCCCACACCCAGCCCCACCACCGAGCTCTGACACCCCCAATGGATCCACACTGAGCCCCAACAGCCCAGTACCCCCATACCAAGCCCTGACGCCTAACACCAAAGGCCGAAACTCCAGACGAACCTCAGTCGCGATGACACACTCGTCCTTCTCCTCAGAGATGACATACACCGACTGGTACTTGGTTTCTTTCGACGTGGAGGATGTGGAGTCTGGCCTTCTCCGCTCCGATGTTTCTCTGCTAAAGAGAAGAGAAGAGGTCACAGTGAGTTTGGAGAACCTCTCCAAGTCTTGCTTGCCCGCCCGCACCCCGGCCCGGTGCCCCACGCACCCCCTGAGTGTCACAGGACCCTTCTCCAAGCCCGAGCAGCTGTGGAGCTCTGGCCTGGCATCACGCTTGCTGTGGGCGTCCCTGGCAGGCTCCTCCGTCTTCAGGTCCTGCACCAGGTTGTAGTCCACAGCTGGGTAGCGGGCCTTGAAGCCACCTTTGTCGGCACTGTGGTCACCATGCACGTCCACCTTCTTGTTGGTGTTCTTGATCTGCGGGCCCCCTATGACACTGACAGACACGTCCTTCTCACGCTGGCAGCTGGCCAGGTTGTTCATGGTCTCTGCCTCGGCCCGACACGTGTCGCCGGGCAGTCGCCGCTTCTGCGCCTTCAAGCGCACACAGACACCCACAGCCGCGCAGCCCAGCAATAGTAGCAAGACCAGCACGACGCCCGCGCCCACAGCAATCCAGGGGAACTGGACACTTGGCTCCCGGTAGCGCTCGGTGAGGTCCACCACCACAGGCCCTGGGTCTGGCAGCAGGAACTGGCAGTTGGGGCCGCCGTAGCCACGTGCACACTCACACACATAGCGGCGACCCCTCTCGTGGCAGGTGGCTCCGTTGTGGCATGGCCCATGCTCACACCTGCTGACTGGGGCACTGCAGTTCTTGCCCGTGTAGCCCGGGGGGCAGGTGCAGGAGTAGTCATTGACGCCATCCTGGCAGGTACCACCGTTCACGCAGGGCAGGGACGCACAGTCGTCCACATTGCCATCGCAGTGCCGGCCCGAGAAGCCTGCCGGACACCGGCACAGGTAGGAACTGCCCAGGTCCAGACACTGCGCCCCTGAAACACAGCAGGCACCGTATTACTCACCTCATCGGCACCTGCTCACACGTCTACCACGTGTCTGGCACCGGGTGGACCTCAGAGACACAAAGACAGATAAAAGACAGCCTTTGGCCTCAGTGAGTTCACAGTTGAAGGCAACCTGCCTTCTCTCTCCAATGATTAACCCACTGGGAAGAGTCCAAGTCCAGTTCACAAAGTAAATGGAATTAGCCAAGCTGCAACTCAGAGCAGGTGTTGGCAGACACTGTCAGAGCTTTACCTGCACCACGGCATTCAGCCGTCCACGGTACAGGTGAGAACACTGAGGCTTTGAGGGGGCCAGGCTCCTTGCCCACAGAGACACAGAGGAAAGAGGAGTCGGGATGAAATACAGGAGGAAGGGACGAGAGGAGGGAAAAGCCAGGTTTCCTAAACCTCCACACTATCCTGCCTCTAAAAATACAGTGGGCCTCACGCCTTACTGGTTTAGGGAGGGGAAACAAGCAAGAGACACAACTTGAGCCACAGACCCTGCCACCGTCCTTTACAGGGCACACCAACAGCACAGTCAAACACATGTCCACTGGCCTGCCCCCTGTGGTCACTGTGCCTCAAGGCATCAGAGCCAAGTGTGGGCAGCACGTCCATCCTGGGCCTGCTCCAACAGCAGCAGACCACACTTCCTCTCAGGGTCCCACAGCCCAGCACCAAACTGCGACACAAGGACCAGAGCTGAGTGTCCTGTCCACACACAGGGTATCACTGCCATGAAAGCGTCAGAGCGCCCACCCATTTCAGCACTTAGTCTTGGGTAACACGAGGGTAGAGGGCTCTGCCTGTCTCTGCTCTCTGGGTGCTGGGGACTCAGGGGTAGAGTTTTCACAGAGTTCTTGACTACTCGAATGGTAATGTCCCCACAAACAAGCCAGCTAATTCGAGTCAATGCAGGGCAACCTCATGTGTGTCAGAGTAGAGCTATGCTCCATGGGGTTTTCAATGGCTGCGAAGTAGACCAGCTGACCTTTCTTCGAAGCACCTCTGGGTAGAGTCAAATGGAGCACCTTCCAATTAGCAGCCCTACGTGTCAGCCCAATGCGCCCTGCCTCTCACTGTAGCTCACTGCAAAGTCCTCTTACCGTTGGAGCACGGTGACGAGCCGCACGGGTCGATTTTCTTCTCACAGTTAAAGCCCGAATAGCCCACCGGGCAGTGGCAGATGTAGCCCCCGTCTGGGTTGTCCGAACACCGCCCCCCATTAAAACAAGGGCCGTCGGCACATGTCATGGCGCTCAGCTCACAGTGTTGCCCGTAGAAACCAGGTGGGCACGTGCAGGAGTAGCTGTTTTCAAGATCCTACGTAACAGAGAAGATGAAAACACGTTTTCTGAAGGCGCTCTCAGAGGCTCCCGAGACTGTCTAGCGCCCGGGTCCCAGCAGGCCTGGCACTACGTACTGTGCAGCTTCCTCGGTTCTTACACGGGCCAGCGTCGCACTCATTGACCTCAATCTCGCAGTTGGCGCCCGTGTACCCGGGCCGGCAGGAACATGTGTAGCTGCCCTGGCCCGTGTTGGTGCAGGCAGCTCCATTCTGGCAGGGTTTATGGTGGGTGCAGTAGTTGAGATCTGCGGGTGGGACGCACGTCAAGTCAGGAAGACTGGCCACAGTGGCCACCGCGCAAGGGCTCTAGCCTCTCAGGTAGAAAGGCAGGTGGGCTCAGACAGGACGCTCACCCTGGTTGCAGAAGAGGCCGCCCCAGCCCTCCTGACAGTTGCACTGCCACGGCTGTTGGCAGGTGCCATGGAGGCAGCCGGGGTACCGAATGCACTGGTCACAGTACCGGCCCTGCCAACCGACCCTGCACCTGGAGGACAGGAAGCACTGGTCAGATGGAGGGCAAGCCTCACCCCCCAGGCGCTGCCTTCCCTCCCTTCCCCCTGAGATTCTGAGTCCTGTGCCTGGGGGCTTCCCAGGTGAGCTTGGTGGGCAGTTAAGTTTGAGACTTAAGGAACTAGACACTCTCTGTTTAAGCAGCTACCTGTAACTCTGGGCACCATGAGAAGCTCACAAGGATCATCCGCCCAGACAAACTGCTATATATTCAACCAGGAGAAGCACCAGGACGGAAGCCCCTCCTCCCAGCTCATCGGGTTTTTTTTTGTTGTTGTTTTTCAAGCGCTCATTTAGGGGCTCATTACAGCCGCAGGGGGAATAAAAGGCCAGAGGGGAGACTCTAACTCACTTGCACTCCCCTGGCCTGTCGCAGACCCCGTGTTGGTCATCGCAGCCCGGCAGGCAGATCGCTGTGAGCAAAGGAGAGAGAGAGAGGAGGTGAGGTGTCCCAGTCCCAGCTGAGTTAATCTCCCCAATCTGGTGGGGTATTGATCTGTACTCCCTGGTAACCGTGGACGCCCTCAGCCCTCGGGACAGCATTCTTCTTAATACAGTTGCACACGGACAAAAGAGAGCTCAAAAGCTCCCACCCCCACCCACCCCTTTTCTTCTCAGAGGGTCAGAAGTCCTTTCCCCCTCCGCCCCTCCCCCACTCCCCAATTCTAAGCACAAAGCCCCACCCCTTCATATCCCAGAAAGTGCGTCTGTAGATAAGAGTGGACAGCTGGTGTGCAGGGCGCCGGGCAGGACAGCTGCTCTATTGTCTGCGCTCTCCCAGCAGCTGCCCCGGGGCCACAATACGGCCTCCCCTCCCCCGGCCCCCTCCGATCGGTCCGCGTGCGCACAGGCGCACACACGCGCGCCACCGCGGACCCGCCCGGCCGGCCCCGAGCGAGCTAATCTATGGCACGCGCGCTGGCGGGCGCGGCGAACAGAGTATTTAAATAAGAAGGAAAAGTTGAAGTTTACGGCTGCCTGGCAGAAGAGGAAGGAGCAGAGGGTGGAAGCAGGCGGTGGCCTGGGAGGGTTTGGGGGCAGGGGGGTGAGCCGAGATGGTTAACTCGCCTGGTTATGAAACGCGTTAAGCAATAGGCCCCGAGTGTTTAGTACGACAAAACTAGCTCCGGACCATTCCCGGCTTTCAAGAGGCTGTGTGTGCAGCGTCCAGCCGAGGCCTCACAGCCTAGAGCCGGAGGGCAAGCCGAAGGGACAGGGCGCCCCTCCTCTAAGGGGCGCTACACCAGGCCCTGCACCTTCCAGGCAGCTTAAGGCCCACCCACTTTCTCCGCCCCCAGGCTTTCTGGAAAGTTCTGGAACCCACTGCCTCTGGTCCACGGGACTAATCAGAGGTCTCTTGGGACAGGCGAGAGACAAGTGTTGAGTAGACCAGACCCACCCCCACCCCTGATGACTTTGTTTCCTGCATAGGTCCGCCCTGTACCAGGGGGTTGTGACATCTCAGTACCTGGTAATCTGGCCAGAGACCTTGTTTCACTATTGTAGCACCAAGACACCTCTTTCTAGCAGAGCCCTGTGTAAGCCTTTGAATAAGCAAAGGGGCACCCAAAACCCTCCATGCAGGCAGGTGACACTGTGCCCCCACCCTACAAGGCTTTGACAGTGACTATCCTTGTGGACAAGTGTCTGGAAATCACAGTTGTCCATGATAACACAGCCAGGGAGGCTCTGACTCTGCAAACACCTAGGGACACATACACAGACAGCAACTAGGAGCATGTGCACGACAGACGGGGTGTCACTCAGGAGACCTGTGGGGGGCACCAGCACCTCAACTCTGAGAGAAACCCAAAGCAATTCCAGCTGAGAGCTGTCACTACAGAAACTCTCCTTTAGAACCTGCCCCTACAACACTCTCTCTGCTCCTTCCTGCCTGCTTCCTCTCCTCCCAGCCTGGGGCAGTGCACGCTGATTTCCTGATTCCTGGCGGCAGTTGGAACCCTCCCAGATTAAGAAAGGCAGCTTCCGATGGTACATAAGTGCTCTCGGAGGTTGTAACATTGCAGAAACTGGGGAGCTTGCAAGGCAAAGACCCTCCCCATGTCGGAGGGGAGGCCCAGACCCCCCTCCCCAGAATCCCAGGAAGTGGTCACTCAGGGAGGAGACACTCACGCTCTGTGCAGTACTGGCCCTTCCAGCCGGGATTGCAGGCCTTCTCTCCTCTCTCCCCGCAGGTGAAGTGGCCAAACGCGTCGTCCCGGGGCCGGCAGAAGACGGAACAACCCTCCCCATAGTAATGGTCATCGCACACGAAGCGGTAGGCATACTTGAGGTCCGTGCGGCCACTGCTGTGCAGGTCCTGGGACCACTCCTCACCTACTGTCAGGTGCCGCTGCGTGGCCAGGCGACTGATAAGTCGCTCCGGGTTCTCTGTTTGGGGGAGGGGAGCAGACAGCCGGGTGGAATGAAGGGATCATCACCAGGGAGACCAGAGTCCCTCAGTCCTGGACTTCCTGAGTGGACTTGAGGATAAGAGGGTCTGTTTCTGGGGGCCTAGGCATCAAACGTGCCAAGTCCTGGCGTTCTTCGGGGTTTTGTTTACCTGTTGTGAGGTCATCAGGAGAGTCCGTGTGGAGAGCTTCAATGATCAGAGAGAAAGTGCCCTGGAAGAGGGAGGAGGTATAAGATACACGACCTTTCAGAGTGACACCTCTCCTACTAGGGCCTGGGCGTGCAGCTTGGGGAGGGTCCCTGCCTATCTTTTGTTTGTCCTCACTTTCCTTAAGGAAATGGAACAACTTATTAAAGAGCAGTTTCCTTCGGTGTTTTTTCAGCCTCTTACACAGGATATTGTAAAAAAAAAAAAAAAAGATGGTGAGAGTGGGAGGGGCTGGAGGCCAGTTGTCTGTATTCTGAATACAAAACAAGGGCGAGGGGCCTGTCACCTGGGCCATCCCTAGATGACCAGGGCTCCGGGAGCCACAGTACTCACCGGCCAGGTGAAACCGAAGGGGAAGCGGATGGGGTTGCTGAAAGCCGCGTGGCCGCCGTCGGCGCCGTCTGGCAGGCTGAAGGAATCGACGCCCAGGACAGGCGTGACGGCGCTGCCATAGGTGCAGGGTGGCTCTGGGGACACGCTGGCTTGGTAGTGCTTGAGGCACACGCGGAAGAAGGTCCTGCATTCGCACTGCGGGGGCCCCACGCCCCCCGCCACGCCTCTACAACAATTGCGGTTCCCCAGCGGCCCCTTCTTGTTCACGAACTCCTGAAGCTTCAGCTCGAACACGCCAGAACTCCAGACCTGCGCAGGAAAGGGGTCATGGACTCTGGGCAAAATGCACCCATCGCCAGAGTCCTCCGGCTGACTCGCCACTCCCGGATTCGCATTCCCATCGATAGTTTGAGTGGCCCTTCCAGCGCCCGCCCCTTCCGCGTGCGCCCGTGACCCGGGCTCCCCCACCTGGCACAGGAGACTCTGGGGCGACCGCGGGAACTGCAGGACCCAGGTATCCCCACCGGACATAGCAGGTTTGGGTTCTCCCACCTGACAGGGCAGGCCCCAGTTACCCCACCAGAACAGCTGGCCCCGGGCAACCCCATCTGAGTAAGAGCTCCGAATGACCCACCTGACACAACAAGGCCGAGACCACAGCGAGAGCCAGCGCGCACGGACGGCCCATGGCGGGCACGGCACGGCTCGCTTGCTTTCCCTGTTTTCTCTCCTTTTTTCTTCTTATAACGGCAAGCAATTAGTGGAGGGTGACGGGGTTTCCAGAAGCGCAGACAGACGAAATGCCGATGTGTTGTCCGAAGCAGGGATAAGTAGGACTGGCTCTTCCCGATTCTCCCCGCTGCCTTGTCCCCGTGAAGTCGCCTCCCGGCGGCCAATAACGCTCGGCAGCCGTTCTCAAGGGGCGGGGGGGCGCGCTCACCGGGCGCAACTTTCGGTTTTCTTCCCTGTTCTTCAGTCCGCGGTAAGCTCGGCGTCCTCTTCCTGGTTTTGTCTCCGGCTTCTTCACAGGGGGAACGAAAGGTGGGCGAGAAAGCACGCAGATCTCTAGCTTAATTCCCAAGCACTGAAAGAGGCCTCCCAGGCCGATTAGAACGCGGCAGTCTAGAAATCCCTGCGGACCAGGCGATAATCCTGGCGCCCGAGCAGCGGGGCGGCGGCGGGCGCCGTGGCAGGGTGCACAGGCCGGCGGAGGCACGAAGCCGTTTCGGGGCGCACAGGACGGCGGCTGCGGGCGCTGTTTCGGGGTGCGCGGGAGAGTGCGCCCTGCAAATCGCTACCCGGGAGCCACTCGGCCGTACGGCTGCTTAGAGAGCGCTACGGGCTGCCTCTCTGGGGCCACAGCGAAAATACTTGTTCTTTCCACGAATCCACCCAGAGGCGCACTGGGTCCGCGAGCGAACGATGTCGCAGAGAGGACACGGCGCCGGCGCGTCCTCAGGCGGCTTCTGCGATGCCGGCCTGGTTTCGAAGAGCTGGCGGCGCAGATCTGCGTCCTGCCGGCTCCCGCGGCCCTTATATGCCGCCGGCCGCCTGCATGGCTAATGAGATGCAAATGAGCAGCCCCCCAATCTGGCGAGAGCTGCCACAAAGGAGCCACTTTTCCAAACCCTCCTCTCAATGGCTCGCCAAATGGTCAGTGAGCTGTAAAATGTGCAACCCCCGCCCCGCCC